TTAATTTAGAATTATCTTTGAAAACAAAAATTCAAAATACTTATTTTTATTTGACAAAGACATCATTCAAAAAATTGTTTTTATGATGACATTTTCAATTCTGTGCTAATTGAATTGCTAGTGTGGATTTATTATTTTCTTTAATAAGAAGGTATGAAAACTTTCAAGCACAACTCTATAGTACACACACACACATATATATATATATATATATATATATATATATATATATATATATATAAAAGTTAGAATGTCTGGGAAAGTGAAACTAAAATAATACAGTAGTATCCTCCTTCTTATTGAAAAAACAAAAAACAAAAGTTAATATATATGAAAACCTGTAGGATGTAGCCTATGGCCCAAAATATTTACTTTGTAAAAAAGCCCTTTTTTGTCTGCTTACTGTTGGTGTCTCGATTAATGCTTACTACATATTATGTGTTATATACTTTAACATATATTGAACTAGTAGGTGAAATAGATTATTTTTAGATAATTTACTTTTCGCACTGCATCAAAACCCATTGGAGAGGTAGGCTCACAATCCATTGTCCAATCACCAGCTCCTCTGTTGTCACGTGCTTTAAATGGACCAATAGTCGGGCAGAGATTAGCTCTTGCCGCACCCAAGTGGCATGAGGGTAGATGGGCGGGGGAGGACGGACGATAGCAGAGATAAACCCACTTTTAAGGCAACATTGGTGGGCAGGAAAACAAGGAGAACCCTCAGCTAGTCTTTGCTTGGCTTTCTTTTATTTTCATCACCGCATTAACCAGAGGGTAAGTTCGCATATTTATTGCATGCTTTGCTTGTCATATGTAATATAGCTCATATTTTTTAATGTTTGAGCCGTTAGCTGGCTCTATCTAAGTGCTGTTCAGCTATGTTTGGCTAATGTGCTGCGGGGTTGGCTAAACACAGACATTTCTGCACATTTTACAGTGGTAAAAGTTGTGTCTCTATGTAGCTCTTCTGAATTGAATTGCGCACGTTCCCTCCCTTGTCTTGGTTTGTAGAACCTATGATGTAGGACGGTTTTAGCTTGAAATGTTTAGCTTGGAGCGTCGTTAGCTTTGCTAGCAGAGCAGGCCGATAGAGCAGGAGCATTATTGTTTTTCTATGCTCTCACTGCTGAAGGGGTTTTATTTCTCTCCCTGTTTCTGCAGATTTTACACTGTTGTGGTCTTTTTTCCCCCTCCCTAAACAAAACTCTCTTAGTTCAGCAGTATTGTCATAATATAGAGTAATTTCCAAGTGGTCAAAATCCTCTTAGTTTATAATATTGCAAACATTTTCCTTATTTCAAGAGAAAATGGTCTATAAAACTGAGTCAAGTAATTTTATACTAGTTTAATATATGCATGCAGTAAGATAAATGATTAAAAATAATTCAATAAGAGTAGGCCTGCAACTTATTATTTTGCAAATCGATTAATCTGTTGATTAATATATGGAATGACTAATTGTTTGTATGACTGAGAACCTTCACCAGCATAATATTCAGTTTCAATTCAGTTTATTTTCATCTCAAGGCACTTTACAGTTCACCAGATCATACAGTCAAATTGATTCAAAGTTTTCTATCCAAGAAAAACCAGTTGATTGCATCGACTCATTGACTCGAAGGCAATCCCTCA